TCCATTTGTCCTGAACTTTCTAACCAAGTGCAGTTATTCTGAGTTGAATTAAAATAAACAGGGATGTGTTTAACTAATCTCCACTTTGTTCTTTAAATTTTGCCATGAACTTTTCTAGGAGTGTGGAAGATATATAAGCAGTAAATTATTTTAACATGAGGATAAACTAGCAAGTTAACCAGTGGTAATCTATTTCTCTTTTCCCAGTCATTTCCAGATTCATAATGTATCTTTCATTTAAGAAGAGCTTGTGGGATTTTAAAGATCCAAGCAGCCACAAAAGGCTGACTCCTGTTCTCAGTTGGCAAGGGGAAAAGGATCTGATAATGCTACCCTGAGACTGGAAAGCTGTCTGCAAGTAAGCTGGGTCAGCAAGGACCACAGAAAATTATGGGTTATGTCTCTGTTTTATATCAGAGACAAATTGAGGCCAAGTAGTCTTATCATAGAATTTATAGAGAGTTGTCTATGTGTTCCTGCTATTGAGAATTGGTCATTTACTGCATGACATAAATCAGGGGATGGTAGACTATAACTATGAGCCAAATACAATCTTCCACTTATTTTTGTAAATAAAGTTTTATTGGAACATAATAATATTTATTTATTTACATATTAGCTATGGCTATCACATACTACCACAGCAGAGCTGAGTTATTGCAATTGAGAACATACAGTTCTGATAGTATAAAATAATTACCATCTAACTATTTACAGAAAAATATTATGAAAGCCTTTGGTATAAATATACTAATATTTACATATTTTATTGTATGCTGACATTTATTTCTTACTTCAATAAATATTTAATATGTAATAAAATCAAAAGAAACAATTTATAATTAATAAAAACATTTCACATTTGTTTCCCTATAAACTTGATAGTAAATATGTAGTTTTTCCTTAAACTATATTATTCTTCATAATTCTCCATAGTGTATTAGTGGCATCACTGTTTATATGAAAACCAGAAGATATACACTATTTGAAGAATCATCAGCATCTATTTTAAATATTATTTTAGAATACTGCTTGCCAATGATGAGTTAGTTGCACATGCAAAATGTATTCTTCCATTATATCACACTGCGAAACATGTCTTTTTATTTAATTTATTTATAATTGTTATTGTTATACTAATACAGTTGTTTCAATTTTTCCCTCTTTGCCCTCCTCCACCCAGCCCATCTCCTGCTCCCACAGTCAATCCCCACACTGTTGTCTGTGTCCATGGGTCACTCATACATGTTCTTTGACTAATCCCTTCCCCTTCTTTCCACCATTAAATCAAATGATGGTCCCAAAATTATTTCCCTCAATTTTTATTGCAGGTTTTTGTTTTACATACAAAAATTGAAGTATCCTTTTAAATGTGTTGGCTCCAAGGATAGAATAAATTTGCATACAATTAAAACAGTCAGACTAATACTAGTAAAATCAGAGGCTTTGAAGAAATAATGTTCATTTCAATAATGGTTTGATTTTCCCATATAATTTATTAAAAAAAAACTCTACAAGTTTATTCTGTTGAAGGTAAGATACCTGATGATACTAGAAATGCTATTGAAAATGTAGTAAAAATGTTCAAAGATAAACTTGTTCTTGTGTTAAAATTATGTATATGTTAAACATTTTAAGTACAGCATTGAACAGAAGTAAGGCCTGATTGAGTGTAGTTGGTAGGGTAACAAAATGGGTAAATGATTTACAGTTTTAATTTGAACACTTCACCTAAAATGCCATATGGTGTGCTTCAGTGTGATATTGTTATGTTATAGAATTACATGCTTATAATTTTATAATAAAATATTTTGTAATAAAAGGGGTATTATTCATGCCAAACCCTGTACATTATAATATTCACACAATTGAATTAGAATCTAGAGCTGCAAAATTCACAAATAATTTTAAATGTTTACAACATAGGCACACTAATAAATTTTTGTGACAAAACTGATACTAAAAAAATGTAACGTGGAAGAATGTGTTTTATCTCATTATTATACATTAACATTTAGATTTTAGTAATGTTTAAACTTCTGAATGATGACTTTGAAAATAAACCAAAGTGTTTCATGGATGTCTTGACATTTTAGTGAAAGAATGCCCTAAATTTTAGTTGTATATTGTTGAAAATCAGTTACAAGAATTTAATAAAAAACAATATATTAAGCACAAAAAAATCAGTTTTTGAAAATGTTAGTCAGTTGTACTTGTTTTCAAAAAGACATGAAAATGTATTCCTGCACAATGCAATGAAGACACTAAACTAATTCAATATATTCAAATGTGTACAAGATTATAAGCATTATAACTGTGTTTTGGAATAGCTGGGCAAGGGGGAAACAATATCTGGGTGATCCTATGCTTCATGGATAGATTTATGTGCTAGAAAATGGAATTAAGTTGAGAAAGCTGACCAGGGGTGTCCAACCCACTGTCCACAGGTTGCATGCAGCTAAGGATGACTGTGAATGTGGCCCAACACAAAATCGTAAATTTACTTAAAACATTATCAGAATTTTTGTTATTATGTGTCACAGTGTATTTAATGTGTGGCCTAGAGTGCCAAAAATTTGGATACCCCTGGACCTTTGAAGTACTTAAGTTTGGCTGAACACTCAGTGGAATTATGAGAATTAATTTTGAAAATGTTTGTCAAAGAAAATAATTGTGTCCTGACTAAAACTTTAAACTAAACTTTCACAATGGCTACTTCCACTTCACCTTGATACAATTCTATACCTTACCCAGAGATAAGATATAAATAAATAATTTTTAAAAATTAACAACTTTCTTTTTTTCAAGCAACCTAAATGGTTAGACATTTCCAATTTAGAGATATATTAAATATGCCCCCAAATTGCCACTACTTTGAGGAAGATACGGTATTAGTTGTTTCAAGTGGTTCTGGGATGGTGGCATATTTTGTTTTGCTTTGATTTTGCTACTTTGCTTTCCACTGAATAAGTTTCTCCATAATTACAAAGTTGAGAATACTAAATAAAATAAAATAAAATAAAATAAACCCTACAACAATCCTAGGGGGGGAAAAAAAGAAAAAAATTCTGAAGAAAGTAAAATAGGGCTCTGATATTTTTGAATAGAGTAAAAATAGGGCTCTGGTGAAAATTTTGTATATATGTATTTTTTACAAAAACTAACATTGAGAATATTTTCGATTTAGATTTTCCTTTGAGATTAACAGAAAATCAATGAGTACAATAAAAATGGTAAGAATGGCAAAATTAAGGAAAGAATCAACTGGAGACATTAATAATTTTAAACTTATTAATCATAAATACAACATTGAAAAGGGTATAGATGATTTCATGAAAAATTAAAATAATAAGATCATATGGAAAACATGCTAATTCTTCAGAAATACACTAACAACATGCTATTTGAGATAAATGGCTAAATGTAGTTTCTGCTGATACTATTTTGTAATATTCAGAAAATATAAAGTATGTTTTAATTTTTCCTTTGATTTTTAGATAAAAAGTTATAATTATTTTCTTTGGAAAGAATTTTATCTAAAAATAATTTTTAGATAAAGTACTTTCTTTATAGGTCTCCCTATTTAATGAAACAAAATGACAAATCAATAAGTAAATGTTTCAAATACATAGTTGTAACTGCTTTTAGCTATCTCTTTTGCTCAAAAATGCCAGTTTGAAAGGAAAATCATATGGTCACCATATGTATGTAGAACAAAGTAAGAGACTGTAAAACATTTTTCAACTCATAACCTGTTTCAACTCATAACTCAAGGAAACAAAAAAATTAAAGGAAAAAAGGCCTAGAAAAGACACATTTCAATAGAGTGGAGTTTCTTTTTTTTTTTTCAGTTTAAGGTTTCATCTTTTTAAAAAAAATTTCAATTGACATTCAGTATTATTTTATAGTAGTCTTAGGTGTACAGCATAATGTTTAGAAAATTGTATAATTTACAAAGTGATCTCTCCAATAATTCTAGTACCCACCTGGCTCCATACCTAGTTTTTACAATATTATTGACTATGTTCTCAATACTGTACTTTAAATCACCATGGCTATTTTGTAACCACAAATTTGTACTTCTAAATCCCTTTACCTTTTTCATTCAGCTATCCACCACCCTCTCATCTGGCAGCCCTCAGTTTCCCCTGTATCTATGAGTGTGTTTCAATTTTGTCCATTTGGTCCTTGGGCTTCACATGTAAGAGGAGTGCTTCCTGCCTGCAGTTACCATCCCCTCCTACTATGAGCAATGCCTGAGGTACTCTATCAGAAATTTCAAGTCCCTCTCAACTTAATTAGAAGGGCCTGCAAGAGAAAAACTGTAAATTATCACCATTCTCCATAGTTTGGGAGACAGTCATATTTTGTTTCACTTCCAAAAAAGGAGATTTTAGGATATGTATTTGTAGCTAAAGATACCACTGCCTAATGATACTTTGAAACAGGCCATACACACTCATATTCAGCTATATTTCCCAGAAAATGGAAGACTGTAGAAGAGTTCAAAGGTTTAGGTAATTATTTAAATACATTTTCATTGTTAAAGCATTTCACCAAATTTAAGAAACTATTGGTTAAAACAATTATTTCATTTTACATCTCTAAATTCCTTTAAAAAATAAAAAAAGTTTATTCTTCATAAAATGGTATTTTTCTGTAATGGCATACCTAACTAAGGAAATAAGTTAGATAGGACTATGCAAATTATCAGCAAAATGTGCACTATTTCTAAAAGTATTTTAGTATTTAAGAACAAACTATATTTTATTATAGTATAAAAATATGTCACCTGGTATCCAAACTCTTCTATATTGTAGAATATTTAGCAGGATAATTAATCATTTGTTAACCTAATAGATTTATTCATCTTATCCCTAAAATAGGTCAGTATAGAAACTCTAAAACTGTATTTTTAGTAATGAATGAAACACTTTAATTTAACTTGAAATAAATAAGGCAAAATTAAAATTATTTGCATATATATGCATGATTTTTACCTGAATATGGTGCATCACACTCACAAATGAAACTACTTGCAGTAACATTGCTCCAATTCTCATGGAAACAGACATGTGGTTGATATTGGGCAATTATTTCTGAACAATTTATGCCTGTAAAAATGAAAGTAAATTAATTTCTAACTAGATTAAAATATTTCTATTTTATATAAAATTAATTATAGTCATTGATTTTCCCCAAATTTTTAAATAATAATATGAACATTTTGACAAAATGTAATTCTAATTAAGAAATATTGCTCCATGATGATGTATTTAAATGGAAAGGGTTTCAGTATACTTTTACATAAGTATTTCCATCTCCTGGCCCTTGTTATACTATCAAATATTTTTCCGATTATTGATATTTGACCTTCAGTTAATTTTCATGATAATTTGAATTTGTTAATCACATCTTCACAGTAGATGGCACATATAAATACCAGTTCTTCAATGTACACTGGTAGCATTGCAGTGGTAATTTAAAAAGCTATGCATTGTATCTTATACATACCACCTAGCCAGGGTCATACTTCAAAAGAGAAAAATGGGAAAAACATTATACCATTTGAAGAAGAACCAGGGCATGAAGTTTCAGTTAAGCAAGATACATAAGCTCTAGAGATCTGTTGTATAACCTTTTACTTATTGTTGACAATAATATATTATACCCTTAAAAATTTAAGAGGATAGATCTGATATTATATTCTATCCACAGTAAAACAACATCTAAATTATGAGGAAAAAAGAGAAAAGGCTGCTTGGATTCTCAGAAGCTACACACAAAATTATAGATTCTACACTTTCTTGCCCTTGTTTGTATATCAAGTTTTCCCAATCCTACTTATATAAAGTATTATGGTCTTACTATAGTACATACCATAACTTGCATAGCATATTTTTCTATGTAGCTAATCATCTCATAATATCCTTCACAGAAGAATGTTCCTAGAAAATTATTTTGCATGGCAATTGGAAAAATGTTACTATACAACAGTTATAGACAATTTGGCAAAATACTCTCCACCCCCTATTCTAATTGAATCATTAATTTAATTTTAAGAAGTTTGTTGCCATGATCAATGACATCTTTCCTATTGCTTATAAACTGATATCCCTGCCTCAGAAGTCTTCTTCATTGACCTCCAGATAACCTCCAACACAATAAAAATATAAATACACATAATTGTGTGCCAAAATATTTCCATACATAAAAACTAAATTAATAGTAGAATATTTGTAGGTCATGTCCTATTTCCATCTTAGGAAGTGTAATGAGCTAAACTGTCCCCACCTGTTTGTGAAATTCTAACCCCCAAGGCCTCAAAATATGACAATATTTAGAGACAGGCATTTTGGAGAGCAATACAGTTTAAATGAGGGCATTAGTGTGGGTCCTAATCAAATAAAAGTGATGTCCTTGTAAGAAAAGAATATGTGGGCATGAACACACACAGAGGAAAGACAATGTGAAGTCACAGGGAGATGGTGGCCTGTGGACATGGAAGAGGAAACCCATTCTGCCCATTCTGCAGACAGCTTGATTTTGAATGTTTATCCTCTAGAACTCAGCAAATAAACTTTTGTTGATAAAGCCACTCAAACTATGGTACTTTGTTATGGTAGCACTAGCAAACAGTGAACATTCTCATGGACAACAGTGTAATGATTGCTGGGGACAAGCAGGGTTGGGGGTAGGTGGAAGAGAGTTTGGGAAGATAAATGGTGATGGAAAGAGACTAAACTTGGGGCAGTGAATAAACAATACATGTTGATGTGTTGTGAAATTGTGCACTTGAAACCTATATAATTTTATTAACTTGTGTCATCCCAATACATTTAATTGAAAGGAAAAAAAAATAAGCACATGAATATATTTTAAAAATCAAAATAAAACAATAAAATGGAAAATAGTAACAAGAATATTTTGGTAATGATACATATTTCTGTATCTTATGAAATTTAAAAATTTAAGTAATTATTAATAAGTAAACTAGTATAATGGTATATTCTCGATGTTTTAAAATTAATAATACTATTAGGTAATTTTATTGTGTTTAAAATTAGTGATATAAATTATCTATGGTTGTGTTTCTAACAAACAAATAAGCATTGGGTAAGAAAAAGATCACCCTATAAATTTACAATAAAATTATTGAAATAATGGCCCATGACATAGGATTATATATGTCACTATTCTGATAGGTGATAGATATTTTTTGATCAAATATTCTTTAAAATTCTTTGGGCAGGTTAAAATGTATGCATAATGATTAGAAGGTTTTAATTATTTCATTTTTTTCTTTCATTCCAAATCAGCAATTTGAGTGCTTTCACTTTTTTTTTCTGCTAAATGCCTTAATTTTAATTATGTGATATACTCCAGAATAAGTAGGGCAACATATATTTTATCACCAGGACAGTAGAGTCAAATGAGAATTTGATCCCAGTTATAGAGGATGATGTTCAGTACATATTGCTGGGATTAACTTCTCAAATGACCTGGTACTTCCCTACTATAGAGACTAACCTCCATGAAAATTGGCTTGGATGAATTTTAGAATATATAATGGCTTACTGAGTTCTTCCATTTTATTTTTTTTTTTTTGCATAGCCATCTCATAGTTGGCTCCAAAGGAGTAATCCCATGCTCCATGGAAGAAAGACTTTGTTGAAATCTCCTAAAGTTTGCCTAACACAATTATAATTATATCCCTAAGCCTAATCTACTCTAATCATATATACTGTTCCCACCCCTTCCAATCTCATGACCAACATATACTACTAATTTGGGATTTGTTTCCTCAGTGTCATTGCCAACCATACAAAGTATGTCATCTTGCTAGATCATTCTTGTTTTACCCATTATTCTTATAATTCTCCACTCCATGTTTCTGAAACTACCATTTAAAAGAAACTCTAATGTAAATTCCAAGACTGGAAATATGTTCATTACAATTCCCAATGTTTCTCTTCACTGTCCTCTGATGACCCAAATTCCCTAGTAAACTTTCAAATAAAGATAGTTTATTTTCCCTCAAATCCTTACTTCAGTCTCAGAAGTATAGTTTACATTGTTTTTAGATTACCCTTCTCTAGTTTCATCTCCTCAACAAATATCACACTTTTACAAACTCATCATTACTTCTCACTTAGCTTATGATAATTAGTTATTAAGTATATCATGCTCTTTCTTTCCTTAGTAGTACCTAGCAATCATTTATAGGTGCCACACTGACATCCATTAAGAACATTGTTTTGGTTCTTAGTTATCTTTTTGTCTTCAACCCTCCCAAGCAACTCCAATGCCTCCCCTGCAACACCACATGGTTCATTATATTCTTCAACTCAGATTCACGCTTCATTTCCACATTATCACCCCAGAGCTTTTTACCCCAAATAACCACAGGCTTGGAAATTTCACTGAGTAACTAAAACATTTTTCTGATGCTATATTTTTAGTGAGAAATTGAGTGAATTTTGAGAAAGATGTGAATATAGGTATTTCAGTATAAAACATACACTGTGTTTTTAAGAAATCTTCTTAAAATAAGCAGAAAGCTTATTTTAGAGACTGATTGATATGATTTTTCTATATTTTGAATTCAAATTTAGCTCAGTCTAAAAAACTGAGAATTAAAAATAAAACATATGTATGTAGCAGTTTATAAATTCAGTTTATTTTCATATTTTAATAAATAGAATATGTTATTTTTAAAGTAGTCTTACCTGTAAATGGTGGGTGACAGATACATTCATATCCTTGCTTATTTCTTTTTTCACTTTTATTAATGCAACTGCCATTATTTTTACATGGTTTATAAGAACATGCATCAAACTCCTGGCAGTATTTTCCAGAAAATGGAGGCTCACAATGGCAGTTGTATGTTTTGCTCCAAATTTCAGTAAGACATTTACCATGCCCAGAGCAATATTCAGAACTCAGATATTCCTGGCAGAACTGATCTTTCACTGTCACATTTAGTCGAAGTCCCAGTTGACAAAGCGATGGACCACTTGCCATTACTGTGATAAAATAATGCGTTCCAACACTCAGCCACTTAGAATTAACAGTGTGCATTCCCTTTAGCTTGCAACCAAAAAGTAACTGTTCTTCAGTTGTGGTATTCTGCAGACAGTCAATGAATGATGCTTCAGAAACATTCATCAAATTTACTTCTGGAGATTGAAGAGATGGTTCAGATGAAATTACAAGAATGTCTCCAAATTGAATTTGCAAAGGACAAATCTGGGGAAGAGATTGATTGCCTGAAGTGCTCATTTTAGTATTTATGTTCTCAAACCAGCAATCTCCATAGACATCCATGCAGATGTTTTCTGATAGTGTCCAATTCACCACAAATGATGAGGGCTGTGTATGCCATTCTTTCACCAATTGCCATTTACATGTTGTTTTTCCATTTGTATACACGCCGTGAAGAACCAAGAGGCTTAGAAGCATAACTGACTTGTTAGTCATTATAGGACACATTATTTTACAATCTATCATGAAAATAACATAAATGATTGCTCAACATGAGATTTCAATATTGCTGGATATTTCTAAGCAGAGATTTTCTTCAGAAGATTCCTGGGAACTGACGTTTTGGTTCTCTTTGCTATTCCCCAAGTGCAAGTGAACTTGATGACTAGATATTGATGAAGAATCAGTAGGTTCAACTGTTTTCAATATCCCTTTAAACAGAAAGATACACCTTTGTTAGTGAAGATTTTCCTAAATTACTTAATGATACAAAAATGTCTTAGCTGTTTTCTGTAAGGACTGTGTCACTAACACCTAGGCACCTTCTCTGTGAAACAAGGCCAGGGAAAATGTGGTTGTTATGTTGTATCTCATCCTGCCCCATGTAATCACCTGATTATGAAAAAGCTTGCTATCATCACATAATTAAATCAGCAACCTGCTGTAGTCTTTTATATCAAGCTTGAATACAACTGAAACACAGCAATAATTAAGATTCTTTTTACAGGTGGATTTGATTTCTTTGAGATAAAAGTATCTCTCTCTGATTAGTTTTAGGAAAAAAGTCTTTAAAAGACAAAAAATATGAATGAAATGGTTTAAATATAATGTTCATGTAATATTTCATAAAAATATAAGCCCTGAGGTATCTGTGAGTGACAAATCATGTTCTTCTAATGGTGATCCAGGAGGTGGAAGCTCTCACATGTATTAAAGACACATAAAATTCTGCTGTACAAATGACTAAACTTAGAATGAATCATCATCCAAATTCTGAAGGAATGGTGGAAGCATGGCAGGCAAAAAAGGGAAAAGAAGATGTAAAGTGGTGTAGTGGTAGGATGATAAATAGAGGTGGTATGATAGAAATGCTCTCTCTTCTATCACTCACCAATGGTGTGAAAGGAGGGGTCAGGAGATCAGGTCTGTTGGAAGACATCACTACTCCCAGAAAGAAGGCAAGAAACCAAACTGGGATTAATATATTCACCCAATTAAAAGGTAGTAACTACTGCTCATTGAGGTTTTTCTCTTTGTAAGTCACTATACTTAGAGATTAACAAATAAACTATGAACCTCACAACAAAACTCAAATTCAGAGAAGACAAATGACATAATGGAAATATATGATCTTTGGACCTCAGTTATGTTATTTATTCATTCTATGTCCATAGTCCACATGACCTTTATTTGCTTTACTCTTATACAGGTAAGAATGTATTAAATATATCAGTTTAAAGACATTAACACAGCAGTGTTGAATTAACAAGGTAGTACTGAAGATTGAATTAAATTATTCAATAAATGGAATCTTTTATTGTTGTCCAATTTCACTGGGCAATTAAAATCTACACTTGTCAGATTCAAATATAGATTTTGTCCCAGCATTTCATTATACCTTGATTACTAATTAAACATTGTTAAAATAAAACATTTTATACCATTATAATGTATAATTAATTTGATATTAATATTAAATATTTATGGTAAGTCCAATAGCTTAATGGGTATTTTAGATCAGGTAGAAATTAAGTTTGAGTTATAAATTACCTCTTTGAAAATTTAGTTGTGGATGTTAGAAATCTATAAAAATATGAAGTTGCATAAGTAATATACTACCTTAATATGTATACAGAAAAAGTCAAATTATAACTTTCTTAAAACTAAATTTCTGTATGATCATGTTCATTTGATATATATTAATAATAAATTCTGAATTTAAAATAATAAGCTTGCTAAAATGTAAAGAATGCATATAACAAATCTATTTGATTCTAATCTATATGCATGGAAATATGCTAGGTAATAAGAATTCATCAATGACCAAGTGAAATTAGATATCAATATAAAGAACTAAAACTTAATGAAGAAGCTAGATTACTAGAAAAGGAGCATTACCAATTTGTTATAAAAAATAGTCTCGAGAACTCTAAAAACACATAGCAGGTACATTTAATAGGAAAAAAAGAGTAAGCTTGGAAATGAAATGGAATCATCTGGGAAAATTGCTCAGAAGGGGAATGCCAGGAGAAGAGGTCTAGCTAAAGATTTTGAGATGAGTGTGACATTGGGTATCTTTGAAGAAGAGAAGTTAAGCTTTTAATATAAAGGGAAGATAAATTATCATAAAATATAAGCTTATGATTTCGATAGTATATCAAGAGGGGCAAGCATTGTCAGTAAAGGAGCTTACATTTTATGTTAGGGCAATGGAGAACTTCTTGAAGATTTTATGTGGGAGATTAAAAAGAGCACTATTTATCTTAATGGCATCAATTCATTTGCAGAGTGAAGAATGCACATACTAGTAGGTACAACTGGAAGAGTTGAGACATGTGGGGAAGGCAATAACACTAATCTTGAAGGCTGTTGACCTAAGGAGAGAGAAAGAAACCTAGGAGGAATAGGTGAGAAACAAAATGATAAGGGAGATAGGATGTCAGAATCACACATGCATATATTAAATTTGAAGCCCCTCTGAATGATTTTCTTATAGAAATATCCAGATATCAATGTTATACACACAGATGAGCATAGAAGAGAAGCTGGGTTGGAATTCTAAATCTGATAATACTGATCATATATTTTTATATTTCAATGTGTATGTAAAGTTGTAGGAAATTTGTCTTAAAATGTGAAAGACGATCTTCTTTAAATAACAAGCAAAGGTTACATAGGGATATCATAAGTATGGAATAAAATAAGCAGCAATGAACACAGTGCAGAGTAGGGGAGAAGAAGCAAGATCAATGTAAATTATTATGGCTGTGACTTTGGAACTTCAGGAACTTCAGGAATTTATCCTGTGAGGTCTGTTTTCACTATGAAATAGGAGGTGATTGGTAGAGATGGTGAGTTTTGAGGGACAATGCTAGACAAGATTTAAAATAAAGAGTGAAGAAAATATGAGAGGATGTTAATTAAGACAAAATAGAAGGATCACTAGGCAATATTAGAATACTTTTGTGGCTGTTAAGTCACAAAATTACAGTAGTATGAAACTGCACAGTGCATTATTTTCCCAGAAGCCTAGTTGAAATGACACAATAAAAAATTAAGAAATAAATGAGTTTAAACAAACACAGTCACAAATTTATTTCCACATGGAAATGCTAAGAAAAAATTACATTTGTATTGAAGAATTAGATCTGTGTGACATTTTTAGACTAGCTGCAGATGTGAGCTCATATTATTGCATGGCTAATCCCATGCTTCTCAGAATTCTCTGGGTCTCTAATTATTGTTAATTTATACTTTTTAAGAGAAAGTGACTTGATGTTTTACATTTCCATCTCAAGAAAATTTAAATAAATTAAAAAAGAAGTCATAAATAAAAACCCAAAAAATTTCTACACGGTCAATTTGCATCTATATATGCTGAATACAAAATACATTGAATTTTATTAGAACAAAATTATTATAAACCACATATGGATACATTGGAATAAAAAGATATAATTTGGACCCAAAAGATAAGTATAATAATTTGTAACTCAATTTTTAATTTACAAGGACATTGTTCTGCATCCCACAAAGTTTGGTAAGTTATATTTTAATTTCTATTTAGTTTAAAATATTTTTAAATTTGTCTTGAGACTTCTTTTCCAATTAATGTGCTATTTAATAGTGAATTGTTAAATTTCTAAATATTTGAACACCTATAACTATCTTTCTGATACATAATTCTAGTTTTGATCCTTTATGATTTGAGAACATACTTTGCATGATTTCCAACTTTGTAAATTTGTTCAGCTGTCTTTTAGGGCCTAGAATGTGATCTGTCTTGGTGAATCTTCCACGTATACTCAAACAAAGAGAAAATGTGTATTTTGTTGTTGGAAGTGGTATTCTGTCAATGCCAATTAGATCAAGCTGCTTGATCATGCTGAAACAGTCAACTGTATCTTTACTAGTTTTTGCCTGTTTGACATAGCAATAATTGACAGAGGTATTTAATATCTCCAACTAAAATAGTGGGTTTATTATTTTTCCTGTAAGTTTTACCAGTTACTGCCTAAAATCTTTTCACATACTGTCCTTAGGTACATACTCATTAAGAATTAATATGTCTTCTAGGAGAATTGTTTCCTTTATTATTATCTAGTACTCTTTATCTCTGATCATTTTCCTTGCTCTAAAGACTGCTTTTTCTATAAATATAGTTACTCCAGCATTTTTTGAAGTAGTGGCTATATGATACATTTTTCCAAATCTCTTTACTTTTAACCTGAATCTTTATCATTTAAAGCAGATTTTTGTGTACACAACAAATAATGTGCTGAGATAAATGGAACTTTAGTGTGAGAATCCATGGTAATCAGACTGGGGTGTGGGCGAGTAGTTGCTGTACCTGCGGGTATCAGCCTTTAGTGCCTTTGTGTTTTACTTCTTTCTTGACTTTGGATTTTCCTAAGTACTCATCCCCTGAAATATTTGTATCTTTTACCCTTTTTAGCTATAAGCTACTATTCTCCTATTGAAGTCCTATTGGTTTGGTGTAAGTGTGGACAAGCATTCTCTACACTTCAAGTTAAATCTAAATTTTCTAAAAGGTCTGTGTCTCCAGGCTGTGGCTTTTACAAGTGATCTTTCTCATATAACTTCCCTCTCTTAGGTGAGAAAGAAAGGTTAGAGGAGCCTGAAGTATGAAGAATGTCCTTACCCATTGTTCTGAGAAAAGATTCAAGTAAAACTCCCACTGGTGAGGAAGATTTTGTTATAAAGAAAACTTGCATTTATTTCAAAAGGATGACTCTTCCCATCCTTTTGCCTGGGTCCCAATTGGATCATTGTCAGATTTTTACTATAAGAACTTGGTGAATGTTCTCAAAAAAAAGCCTATGAATGTATAGGGGACAAACTAAGACTATGGCTTCCAGCAGTTCTTAGCCCGCATTGCCTTCAACAATTCAATGAAATTCCCATTTAAGTGTTCATATCAGTTTATGCCTCCAGTGTTTTTGCTTCAAGATATGTGCTATGACTCTCTCCATTCATCTATCTCTCCAAATTCCAATTTGCCCTGCAAACTCAGTTTTTTGTGGGTTTAAGAAAAGCCATTGATTTTTATTTTGATCACCTTTATCTTTCAATGAGGATGAAAATTAAAATTTCCAGGTTCCTTATATGTTGGAGCTATAACCCAAAGTCTACATTCAATTTTACTGATTTTTTATTGGCTTTTTTTCACATATATTGCTCGCTGTCAACT